GCGTCATACCAGGTATAAAAAATGTACTTCAGAGAGTACCCAAGACGTTCCGCTTGTAGAGACAAACAAATTTGAATCTGCTGAGTCCAAATTTGGTCGGTTCATTCTGTCAGGATTGAGGAAAAGATAGGACCCAAATGCAGAATAAAAAAGACAAAAAGGTCAAGGAACAAAAGGCGAACTTTATTTAAAAAGCTGATGACAAAAATAACATGACATAAAATAATCAGGTAGCACGAGGTATTATCAAAACAAAAACTGACCGTGACCAACATGGAGGGAGATTATAAAGACAACTAGACTAGAGAATGCAATTCCTGAAGAAATTGCTCGTGGGAATGCTTCATGCTGAAAAGCAGACGCTAAACCAGAGTCCTGCATCGGGTCGGGTAACACCTTCATGCCGATCTAGATCCCTCCGCTTCGCGTCGGGCTCCTGATCAGACTCCCCATCATTTCCCCATAATGACCGCGTCGCTGCACATTATCCCTTACATATGATTATATAGAGTCATTATTCATTTGTTTTAAAGCAGGAGGCGCAAACGCTTGCCTCGGGGAGGGAGAAAAAGAGCTACAGCGGAGAGAATAAACAGAAGAGCAACCATGGCAACCATGCAAGGGAAGTCTTCTTCGCTGCTTTTGTGGCAGACTACAGCGCCACTTACAGGCCTGGCATATGTACTACAGCGTCTCCAGCGCTTTCGAGCCGCAATGGCCGGCCGTGGCCCAACCTCTCATTCCCCTGATAGGTGGAGAATTGACCAATAGCCGTAGCGCCACCGTCCTGACGTCAGGACAGTGTTCAAATCTGGATCAGTCTGTATCAGATCCGTTGCAGCCCCGTTTTTAGAGATTTGGGTATGGAGGAAAATAGAGAGGGTTGTGTTTTCTGACACTTGGTGAGTTCCCTGGAACACCGGGGACACATATTCATGTATAAAAGACGTACAAAAGTGCATTTTGCATGATAGGTCCCCTTTCATTTTTCTTCAGCACGTGTTTATGTACGTTAAAATGCAATAGGGGAAATAACTGAATGCGGATATTGCATCGATCCGACCAAGAACCACGTCTCCGTGGAGAGGACGCACACAGAGAGAGAATGTCTCCAACACAGGGTGAGATCGCTCCTTTGTGCCACGACGATCATCGTGTTTTTCTTTTTGTGGATTACAGCCTAAATAGGCCTACAAACATTACCGTTTTTTTGCTGCCGACGGGCGCAGGAGCAACAGTTTTTTGTCAATGAACTATAGTGGCCTGGATTAGGCAGTAAAGACAATTTCGGTTTATCGCCGAGCTGACTTTTTGTTTGTGTTTTGTTTGGCTGGAAAACTGTGAGTATAATTGAATAACGTATAAAACCTGTCTTTGTTTATTTTGTGGATGGAGACTGTAGTAAATACACTTCCGTGGGGACTATTTGTGGAAAGAGTAGATTGTCCGTTTATCAGTTCTGTTTACCTTTAATATATAATTTCATATCAAGAACCCCTTGTGTGTTTAATTAACACAGCTATGTTTGATAGTTGATCGTTACAAATTGATGGATTTAATCAGAGATTGACCGCTCCATACAGACAGTCCCTAGTAAGTTACTCCTTTTTGCATGACACGGAACATTTCAAGACATGAAAATAAAGGCATTACTTTTACCCAGTTGAACAGACTGGGTACAAGTAATGTGCTGAAGATATGCCTGCAATGGTGACTATTAAGGGTCAGTCATTTGCACTAAACCGTATCACTGAATATTTAATGTCTTTAGCTCCTTTTAAACAGAGAATCCAGAGATCCGCACAAGGTCCACCTTCAGTGCAGGACCAAATTGTGATTTAAGCAGGAAGTGTGTGAAAGGGGCTTTAGTCTAGTCTGCCTGATTGCCTCATTGTCATTGATCCATTATCCAACTGAGGTTTCCACAAGTTAGAATCCATGGCCCCTGAAATGTCAGTAGCCTAACTGTGTATTGATAAATCCATGCTGCTGTTAATGGCGCTGACGTAACAGACTGATTTTTTAATTGTCACCCTCTCTCAATATTGTATATATAATATAATATTCTCTAAACTATTTAGCAGTTCAAAGAGGTAAATTAGATGAGCAGTAGCACTTCTTTGGGTTAAGTGTGAAGCATTAGCCAGGAAGTAATGAGGTTAATTTAGCTTAATGGTAAGCAGGACTTGAACATTGGGTGGCTCGGACCAAATAAAAAAAACATCTAAAAAAAGCGAACTAATTAACATAACTGACACCGATTTTCTGGTTTGACATTTCCTATTGAACAAAAGCTGGATGCAGGGACTTACATTTTGTAAGGTTGCAAAAAGCTAACATGTCATCCTAACAGTTGTATTTGCGTAAGGATGAAATAAGATAGTCAGTAAATTGTTCCACATTGGAGAGAGGCAGGCTAGCAGTTGAATAGCCGCCACGGCATCCCATTTTTAAGCTAGGCTATGAACCCATTTGTGACACTATGTACTTCAAAGCACAAAAACAGGGTTAGTGGTGTCAAGTTATTCCTAATAGAAACATTACTTTAATTTGAACCAATCATCATAGATCCACCTCACTTGTGATAGTTTGATACTCAACACAGTCACAAAAAAAACTGCGGGGTTCTTTAACACAATATATTAGAGCAGATATTGTTTGGGTTCTTGCTCAAAAAATACTTCAAAATTAAAGGAGCATAACTACATTCATGTACCAGCAATGGCATATTTGAAATATGAAGGCAATGCTGGATTTTATGTATGGATGTATGTATGGTCGTGTCTGCAAGACCGAGTGAGTGCCTGCATGTGTGTTTGTGTTAGAGAGAGTCAGTTGGGAGAGAGAGGGACTTCGAAAATCGGTGAAGAACAGTCCCAGGCTCTGCTCAGTGAAGCGATTCATGAACCTATCAATGGGCCGCGTGTATGTTCAACTGTGTGCGCACATGCACACACAAAGGTGCCGATGGGCCTTTATGAGCATAGTTAAGCTGTCCATCTGAGATAGGCTTTCATTATGTGGTAAATGAACCAATCAAATAGATAGCAATCAACTGAAGACCTCAACTCATGAACTGCCAATAGGAAGAGGCAGAGTTCCCGCAGGGGCAAAGAGTACTAATAATGCCCTAACTCATCAGACGACATGCAGTTTGGATTAAACAATTTACCAAATAGCATATGCCAAAGTGGCAATGGCATGCGCTGAATATCATATGAGAAAATGCCAGAGTAGATGTGGAACTGCCATTTGCTTTTATTACACTACAAGCACCGCATGGGACGTTACTTTTAGTGAAACAGAAAGGCTTGATTAATAAAGAATATAAAATACGGCTGACATCAATTGCAATTCAGCAGCATTATAAACAGATGTTGCTTTGTACACCGTTGTGTATGCAGTTGCAACACGTTTCCTTTGAAGGATATTAATTTGATGTTCCTTTAAATCCGGTAAAAACATCTTGGACAAAACACCTCATGGAAACTAAATAAACAGGTTGTGTTACATACAAGATCAATGGTTAGGAAGGAAAGTCAAAAATAATCATATTTCATGCACGATAAAGGGAGTTAAAGTGAGGTGTGCTAAGGTCGGCATACAGGATGTTTTGGATGCCAATCCAAGAGAGTGTGTGTCATCAGAGCGAGTCAGAGGTCAGACAGCTCTGCACTCTCGGCCTACAGCCATTCTGAACTTTAATTTGGGCATGGGGTGCCAGACAGGAAGCCTGCCAGTGTTATTTCCAGTGGGATGTGACCTTTGTCTTTGTCGGTAGTGGATTGCATCTGCCACAGCTACTCTCTTGTCTAAAAAACACTTTCTTTCTACTCTTTTAGCCACTGAAACTATTTTAGCTCTCCTGCTTCCTGTTGTCCTCTTTCATTCACCTTTAATCTCCTCCACAGTTGGACGTGTGCATTCGGACACATTTCTTGGCTTTAATTGAAACCACATGAAATTCCCAGCAGTTATCTTTCAAGTACGGCTAAAAACGAAGAGACGTATTTTAAAACCGTATGAGGACTTGATGCTTTAAAGGGAATGCGGCACACTTTCTCACGGATGAAAGACCGGCATCTTTTTGAGCAGCCCTCCAGGGTCTCTTTACAGTCCAAGTCCTTCCCAGCATTATCCTTCGATGCCCTTGAAAAGCCATCTATCTGCTTCCATGGGAAACATCTCTGAGTGTAGGAATTCACTACGGGATAACATCTTGGTCCGACCTTGGCTGGAGAGAGGGTTGAGCAGTTGATATCCTCATATGTTCAAGATTCAAGAAGAAAAGTGATGATGACGACTCAAAGAGAGCAAACTCAAGGTTATGAGCTCAAACTTAACTTGAGATGGACTTCTGGAACTGTCTTTTTGCTTTAGAAATAACAACATAAGCAGGGGTACACATAACTTTCTCAGTGAGGTACTCAGATGATTACCTGGAGTCAGTGTTTGGTACTCCAACTTCTGGATCCACTCAAAGTTATGTGATGAAGCCCTCTGTTTCGCGAACGTCAACGGGGGACAGGGGTGCTTGTGGAGTACTTCAGGAAAGTCGACGGGGGGGCTAGTGGAGTACTTCGTGACCACAGCGTGAACGTNCCCTCTGTTTCGCGAACGTCAACGGGGAAAAGCCGACGGGGGGGTGGGGGGGTGGGCTAGTGGAGTACTTTGTGGAAGCCGCCGCCGACGGGGGGGGGTAGTGGAGTACTTTGTGACCACAGAGTGTGAACGTTGTGATCAGTCGTCGTCCGGTGATCTAACCGCCTTCTGGAAAAGCTTCACAAGTACGTCGTTACGCAAATGCGCTTTGTGACACAAGTGACGGTACGCATTTCAGATTGTTGCCGCGCATGCGTACCTGCGTACCAGTTATGTGCACCCCTGAACATAAGCCTAATTTCGTCACTAATGGTGGTAACAGAGTGGTACACATTGGTACAAAAAGCACATAAGTATGGACAAATCCCAGGAAGTGGAAATCTGTGTTAGTTTCCTACCTTCAGCCGGGTTGATGAAGACCTCTTTAGGGATGAAGAGCTTGTCCTCTGATGTTCTGGCCCAGTCCTTCATCCCTCTCCGGCCCTTCACTGGAAAGTTGATATCGCTGGAAACGGCTGACACTGGCTCTCTCTGGACGGTTATCACTGGACAAATAAGACATACCCCGTACACTCAATGCAGTGCAACATTGCCAAAAAACTGGTTATAGATAAGTTGAGCAAGAAAACAATGGAACCATTATCGCAAGAACAAGGGCTTTTTTAAATGAGTATTTAAATTGGATGATTTGGAAACTTACTGAGATTGTTGGTGACCACCAAGAAACTCTGGAAAGGCTTCTGGGCTTCTCCAATGAGGTGAATGAAATCTTCTAATATCCTCATCAGCAAAGCAGCACCGGGAGCGACCTTCAGTTAAAAGGGGGAAGGGTGAAAAAGTATAATGAATAATTTCTTCATAAAAGTATAATCCATTGAAAACTTTCTATGAGAAATGTCTCGCCCCTTGGAATAATGTTTATCCATGGCACTTTCTTGTGTTCCAGAATGGTTAATTGTAACGATGCAGGATATATTATATATTTTATTGGGTCCAGATGGGAAGTAAACATACCTCCTCAAGGGCTCAAACGTGGTCCCACACAAAAAACACAAATGTGCACATAAACACACCTAGTAGAGTTGATATATAGCCATTGTATTTAGTAAACAGTTGTGCTTTTATGACTAATGAAAAGTTATTGTGGGATGTGGTCATTCCCGCATTTTCACACACTTACACATATTCAAATGTACAGTTTTTACCACACACACATATAGGAAGCTGTATAAAGTGCTACTTTTTTATTGAATCTTAGTCCCGTGTCAAATGTCCTGGTTAAGGTTTTAAACTACATTTCAGTCTTGCCTTTTTTTTGTCAATGATATTTCTTTATGTTGTTATCGTCACCAAGTGTTTAATGTTGTTGGTAGATTATTGTAATATTCTCGATTTAGTCATCAAATAAAAAAGGTATACAGTAACACACATAAACACATAAAAGGCATTACCTGGTGGGCGTCCTCCCATTTCTCCACATTGTCCATGTCCAACATGAGGCTGACTACCTGGAAGAGTTTCTAAACACAAGACGAAGATGTTGTCAATGCAGTTACTTAAGCTAGTGTGCTACTTTAGGTAGAAAACCTGAAACCACTCACCATTTAAAAAACATTATTGTATTTCTTTGCACACACATGAGTCTGAATCAAATCCAATGAGAAAAATAAGAAAAGCAGCAGTACCACACTTTATTCTGCAAAGTCTAGCAGAGTTTATCATTTGTACATATTGTAAAACATAAAACAATGTCTGTCAAAGAACTGACTGAAACATGTTGTTCTCTTACAGGCAGTGAAAAGAGAGAAAATGCTGCAAACAATCCCATTTGAGGCTAGAGCAACTAGTTCATTGTTATGCACACCACGTGCAGTAGAAAATGGAGCCTCTATATTGAATATATTCGAAGGGGTTGCAAATGTAACTGTGTGTGTGGCTGTGTGTTTTGTTTGGTGACTTGAGGGTGCTTTTAGAGAAGGCTCAGTGGGTTTTGCTCACCTGCACGTCGTCGGGAGCTGGGACGTAGGTTGCTCTTTTGAAGGTGTCCGTCACATTTCGCAGGATCTCCGTGGAAAAGAGAAGGTCGCCACTGTAGTAGCTCCCTCTCTGCAAGAGCTCCAGGAGAGTCCTTACGATCTGAGACATGCCCTCCCCAGCCAGGGTCCTCTGACCCTTCGCGAGATGCTCTCGTAACTACAGTGTGCAGAGAGAGACAGAAATTGAAAGATGCTAATGGTTTTATCCCTGCTTGATAATACAAGGCATGCCCATTGGCACTAACTGCATATAGTAGACATATTCAAAAGAAGTAGCTGGTGAAAAATGACAAACCAAATATGATGTTTTCTTTCCTAAGAAATCACAGGAATTTTAAGGGTGAGCCAAAGCGGGATGAGAATACAGTTCACTCTATGTACATGGTTTGATTTCTGTTCTAGTGCTTAAAATAGGCGAGCAAGCAACACTCTCACGCAGAAATTGGATCTCATCACTTCAGAGACAGAGATACAGAGAGCAAGGCTGAGTGAGAATGTGAAAGGCAGAGAGAGGGAGAGAGGGCGAGAGAGCCTGGAAGAATAGAAGATAACTGCAATCACAGAAAATTAATTATTGACTCCTGGTGTGAATGAAAGGTTGAAACAGAAACGAACAGTGCAATCAGCTCCACGGTGCACAATCCCTGACCCCCATCTCCTTCTGCCATCATCGAGGAGATGAGAGAGGTTAAAGTTCACAGAGCAGGAAAACAGTCTGGCTGGTGAACACATTCATTAGCTATATTCATTAATTGATAAGTGCGAGCACAAAGCTCTGGAAAAGCTAATTAGAGATATGGCAAGCCTCGAGTACAGACACTCGGTGTTAACTTTTCAAACAAAGAAAGTTGAACAGAGGTACAGGTTGGGTGAAAGAAGGACAATTGAGGTAGAAAATAATGTTTGAAAATAGACAGAGCCTTTCCTTTCTCATATACGTATGCAATAAAGATTCAGAAGATGAGTTACGTAGGAGGTGATAAATAACTGGCTGAAATGATGTAATCCAAACGAACATACACATTAATTGTTTTCCTTTTTGAGGAAGAATTTCTAAGTACTTACAGATAAATGTAAATATCTATAATCAAGTGAGACGCATCTGGCGAAGCTCGGAGGACCCCAGAAAGCAACTCCATTATTATCCAGCATGCAACGACGACTAGCAGATCCTAGAAAGAGAGAAATAGAGAGAAATCGTTTATAATGAATCCACAAATCCTAGAATCCATTCCTTGTAATATTGTGTCCAAGGCATTCCATTAATGATTAATAACCCTGCTGCTGTTTCCAGGCTAATAATACATGATGCTAAATTAAGAAAGATTTTCATTGTTTTAAAAATCATTTTAGTGCCCAAAACACATAACCATCTTGCTTGAATTCTTGATCTGAGAGTTATTCCAATTTGTAACACTAATAAAGTTGGGGTTAATACAGAGGCAGTCAGCTTGATTAATTTTTACGATAGAAGCCTGAGCACATTAACAACCATTTACATCATTATATGCACTTTTATATTATTCAAAATTAAAACCAAAAGGGGACTTATTCTACATTTGCCTTTTCTGGGAGCAGAATTGTTAAGAAGAATTGTTTTTGTTCAGTGTTTGGCAGCTTGCACCTGTTGACGTTTCTAACATGGCAGACAGCAGACACACTGGAGAAGCTGCCAAAATACTTTACTAAGACAACAAATGTTTTCCTAGCCAAATAAGTGTTTTTATAGTATGAGAGTGAAATTAATCAAATGTTAAGTTTCACAGTTAATTTAGTTTGAAGCCAATCATAAATGTAATATCCTTGAAGCTAGAATATTTTACTGGCAAGCGACCAGATTCCTGCTTTCTACGTGTTTTGATGTCAGATCCAACACCATAGTTTGATAGATGTAGAAACACGATTATATCACAAGCATTCTGAACCACATCTGCTCTTGGCTTAAATTCTAAAGAAGAAAGTGTCTACAAGAAAATCAAGGCTTTTTCTTGTTTTCGTTTTTAGAAGTTAAAAGGGAATGCCTGGCAGTCAGCTGCCCAAGGAAATCCTCAGTTTAAATTCAAATTACCGGTACTGTGATAAGTAATTACTGTGATAAGTGATAAACAAATAAGGTTTGACTACAATCAAGCAGGACACATCTGCTGTGCTGATGAATAGACGCTGGGTAATGCATGAGTTGAAAACAGTATAATGTCCACCGCTGTCAACCAATAGTTTCTTGATTTTATTTGTTGATTTTTTTAATTTTTTTATTGGACATTTTCAAATTATTCTTTTTTATCTTGTTTTAGTTTAAACTGTTCATGTCAACTACTGAGTTTGTTTATGAGGATAGAAAACTTGAACTTATTGGACATGTGCTATGTAGCTTGGTCTTTTTACTAGTGCTAGCTTTTTACTTATTTTCGATTAACCAATAAATTCACGTTTGTATTGTGTAATGTCTATTGATATACTAATGACTCCAAGCTTAACACCATCACAATCTATAGAAAGCCTTGGCTAAAATATTTTTTAAAGCCAACATATTTGGGATATAGCATATCATGTGACTGACCTGTGGCGTTAGTTGGACACTTGTTGTAGACAGTTTCTCCAGCTGAGGCCCTTTTCCATGACATAGAGAGAAGGTTATCTTCGTTACATATCTCATGAGGAGCTGTAGAGCAAGGTGAGAAATGCACAACAAATAAAGTCAATCAATTTCACTGGCATAGCACAAATACAAACAATAGAAGTTGACAAAAGTGCTGAACTGGCAAACAATACAATTCGAAAACAATGCAATAACAAGAAGAAAATCAATACACATAATAATAGTAAAGCAATTGCAGCACAATAGAAGATCAAGTCAAGGTGTCAAGTTTAATTCAATCAAATGCTAAGAGGAAGAGTTGGGCCTTTAGCCGCGACTGAAAGGATTCTGTAGTCGAAGCAATTTGTAAGTGAATAAAAACTGTTCCACAGATTAGTGGCTGACACATCAAAAGCTTTGTCACCACCGTTTTTGTGTTTAGTTCTGGAAAAAACCAGGAGCATCTGATTACTCGACCATATTGCTCTACTTAGAAGTAAGTAGAGGCAATTCAACCGTTAAATCAATCCGGAAATCGACAGGTAGCCAGTGGAGGAGGGCAAACAAAGGGGATATAAAAGGACGTTTCCTTTTTCCAGGAAGAAGACGAGCAACTGCATTCTGAAGTAACTGCAGATGACTAAGACAAATGTTCTACACCCAAAGAATAGTTCAATGTCTAACTAGGCTTTAAAGAGCTAACAGCCTTGACCAAACAAAGCTAGTTTTTCACAACTTAAAATATTGGTTCATGAAATAGAAGTCGTCAAAAATAATGAGAACAAATGGGAGAAGCTAAAGGGCTCATCCAGAGTCATCGAATAAGTCAGGTCTTCCGAGATAACATGCTCAGTCTAATCTTTATTAAGATTAAAAGATAAAGTCCATCCAAAAGCTTCAATTATTCCTCAGTATTTTTTATAAACAAGTAGATTTGTACAGCATCAGTTAAACAATGCAAAGGAATATCATCTTTCTCAAACATAATGGACACAAAGGGCAGCAAATAAGATAAAAACAGGAGAGGTCCCAAAATGTAGCTTTGAGGGACGCCACAGGTAAGTAGGCCCAAAGCCGAAGAATATTAACCTAAGCGAACCAAGAATGCAGATAAAAGCAACATAAAGCAGTCTAGCAGGCAGGCTAGACACAGAAAAAAAGAGAAATCACAATGCACACACTCCCATAGACACATACTGTACATCGCAGGAGAAAAGGGTGACAGAGAAGCACCAAATAAAAAAACAAGATTCAAATCAATGTTCTCCTGCAGCAGCTCCCAATCTTATTCCCTTGTACATTGCTCAGTGCTCTGTGTCAGTGTCACTGCCTCAGTACAGTATCTCATTCCCCCTTCATCTCACCCCCTCTCTTTATTCATCTGTTCCCCCCCCCCTCTCTCTCTTTCATAACCCTGATGAAAAAAAAAAACCGGGGGAGTGTGCTCTGAAGATATTCCGAGGGGGCAGACGAGTGTTGGCAGAGGCAATGCATAGAGATGAAAAGGGACGGAGAGTGAATATAAAGAGAGAGATACTTAAAAAGAGAGAAAATATGATGCGATGTTCCCCTGAAATGCCAACAGAAAAGATCCGCGTCTTGTGTCAAATATGGTCGGGAGTTACTCAAAACAAAGGGGTCACGATGGAAGATACACTCTAAAGTTGATAGTTTGTAGCCTGTCAGAGCTAAAAGCAAGCACGTACACATACTGTATGGCATTTGGGCTTTTACAGAACATACACTTGCATATTCCACAAGCACACACAGCTACAGTCAAGAGGAATGCTTGTTAAACCAAACTGTTTCCTGCAGCGGCTGACAATGACATTGAACATCTCGTCTGGACCAGGCAGAGAAACACTAAACGGTTCAAATCAGGCGAGTTAGATTAGTGCTATAAAAACAATGTTAAAGAGGAGATATAAAAGGAGAAATGGAGTATCTCTTAGGTAAACAGAGAGGAAGAAATAAATGCGCCACAAGGCACAGACATACAAAATCAATAATTCCCCAAAAATGTATTTCCTATCAAATAATAATCTACTGTTAGGGCTCACAAACTACATTCAAATATAAAAGAAAAACCACTGGTAATAACTTCCATGCTGCCTGACAGCCTGCTGTGCATGTGATCGGGCACAGATACACACAATCTCCAACAGGGACCCAGCAGGAGCCGCATGCAGAGAAATGAAACCAAGCAAGTTTCCAAGCATGAATAGTGATTACATAAATCCCTCATTTTCTCCGCTCACACACACATTCAGAGTCACTGACCAGGGCACTTCTTCTCATTACAGGCCCGGACCTCCTCTCCTGAGCCCTCACATGGATAGCCCTGGTCTCCGGTCCCCTCACACATCCTGAAGCGGCGCTGCCAACCCGAGTCACATGTCTTGCTGCAGAGGTTCCAGTGGTTCCAGTTGCCCCAGTTACCTCCACCTAGAACAGGAGCATAGCACCGCCGGAGAAGATTGGGGAGCAGAGAGGAAGTGTGAGAGCGAAAGAAAGCAGCATGTTAGGTGAAGAAAATATGGGAGTTGTTGATGAGTAGTAAATTTAGGTTACAACTTCAAGGCAGCAATTTCTAGGCTTTTTCAATTTTTCAGTGTGGTAACTTAATTAATAGGAACCCATTGTGGGCCCTAGGCTCAATAAAACACACTAGTATGTTTGTCCTCCGGGAACCCCAGTCCAAACAAACTGGGTCTCAACACACAAATTGCTGGTGTGTGGACTAGAATCAAAGAAAACCATACAGATGCCTTTAGATAATGCATGTTTGCATAATTGCGTTTGCGAGTGTGAATACTAATAATTCATTTGTACGCCTTACCACTGCAGGAAGGGTTGGTGCATTCTCTGCTCTCCTGATGATCCCCATTACACTCAGCCCAGCCGTGCACAGACGCACTGCAGCGCCTCTGTCTCTGCTGGCTTCCCGTGTTACAGGTCACACTGCATTTCAACCACGGCCCCCACTCCAACCACTGGCCTTCCACTAGACAGCGGGGAAAGGGGGTGAGAGACATAGAGAGACAGGAAAATGTATGAGATTGATAGAAGAAGATTTTGAGAGACATGGGGAAATAAGGGGAAATTGATTCAGATTGGTGAAGCAGATTTTTGGGTCAAGAAAGGTGCAAAGGCAGAAAACACACAGGACAGAAACTGTGAGAGGGCTACAAGTAAACAGAATATAAAATGTGTTTCCATTCAAAGCAACAAACAAACAAACATATTTATTTCTTTTATGGACATTATAAATATCTGTAGTGAAATTTTCCCATTACTATATCATGCAGTGTTTTAAAGAGTTCACACAGAGTACAGACTGTTGGGTTTTTCATTCAAAGTGATATTAGAAAGGCTCCACATGTGGATTATTGACTGTTTATGCAGAAATAGATGAATACACATCATTTCAGTACAATTCAGACCTGCCAGTCGTAACAATGCATGCAAATAAAATAGCTTAACCAAAGCCTCATGAGCACAGGTGTAATCAAAGCCCCTACTGTCCCCTTTAATAAGAGAGCATTCCTGGAGTAATTGAGTCGTCACATGGAATATCCGAAATGCAAAACAATTATGATTGTTTTGCATTATATCATCTCAAACAGGGAGTTTAATCATTAAGTGGGTGCATAATTCTAGTATGCCATTAACTTCAAAGCTTGTAAAAGACAATTTTGAGGATCTGTGTCACAAAACAGAGCACATCGTTCTGCTGAGAAAAGGCAAATGACAAATATTCTTAATTCATTCCTCAATGCATTTTTAATTAGAAGCCTTGAGTAAAACCGAAAAACCACAGGAGAACCAATTACCAACCTGTGACAATGTCCATGTATATGTTATAATACTCTTTATAAAGGGGCTTAATATTGTATTGTTGCAAATGGTAATTATTGATTTTTTTTTTTTATGTATTGTTTGTTTAATCAGACACACATTCCTAGAGGTGATAATTTGAATTTTTCAAACAACACAAGGCTCAATTATGTTGACAGCATTGTTACTATGTCCTGCCTCCAGCATATGGACCTGAAATATGCTTTGAATTATCCTATTTTGTAACATAACTGTACTGAACAAAGTGTAATGATTTTATACTCGAAATTAACTGAAATTCTCACAAAACCTTTAACTCAGATGACCTTGTTAAGGGGTAATGGTGAGCTAGTCAGCGAGCAATTATGTATTATATATTGTACCATCTATTCAAATCCAACAATGTTTTGCTTAAAAAGCTGCCAGCTTTTGAAAGTGATTGATGGAAACGGGACTGTAAGACGAAATTAATACATTCAAACTCCGTATAAAGCAGATTTGGGTGAGAATTATCTGTTGGTTTAACTACAATCGAAAGACATTTGATCAATCAAAAATATTGTTGTAGAGCTTGCATATAACTGATATAAGTTGGATTTTTCTATTTAATGTAACCTTAAGTCAAGCCGAGTTGATGCAGAGGTCTATGCTGAAAATAAATATACATTATAAATGCTCTGATAGTTCAAGCAAAGTATTTTTTGAAACTGTGTAGAATAAATTAAGTCAAGGTAAGTTTAATCACATCTTAACAGGCTATGAAAAAGAGAAGAATCCTGGTCTGTATATAGCTATTGTTTAATAGATCAGCCTGTCTATTTGTGTTTATATTAAGAACATCAATTCAAAGTGAGAACTGTTACTTGTTTGGGCTCAAAATGATATATCGAGGCACACATTCTACACACAGGGGCTTTAAGTAGCAGAGAATGTGAAGTACAGTCCAGTAAATGTATTTGTCTGGTTCTCCCAAGTGGGAAGCCATTGCCATCTATCCTTGGTAATGTGGTCAATCACGCTGTGTGTGGCTTTTACTCTGTTCCAACTAGCTGGGGCCAACACTGTTGGATAGAATTTCAGTGTGAACGTGACAAAACAAACGGCATATAGAAACCTAGCACGGGAACTCTCTCCTGGGAGGCTGTTTTCTTGCCAGTGACTTAAACTATTAAGACAGTATGGCCAATGACATGTAGGGATTCATGTCTGACTGTTTATTTTATATATAGCTTGTTTCAGATGTTGACATTATAAAAGGTCTGTTAAAATCAATTATTCATGTGACATTTCAGCCGGTTTAACTCTTAATCTGTTGATTGTAGTCATGTAGTCATATGTGATGCATCAGCTGCCATTAACATTTACAGCTTTGCCTTAACATCCATGCAGTTGTCTGATGTCTTAGTCTGTGTTTACATACGTGATGAGCCACTGTGAAGAGAGATAAGAAATACTAGAGAAATAGAACAAATTTGATTAATTCCTATGTGGGTTTAACACTGTGCAGTATGGATAGAGAATATTATATGGCATAGTATACTGTCTGAATATCTGCCTTCAAATAAGATCCAATCTCTCACACACACACACACACACACACACACACACACACACACACACACACACACACACACACACACACACACACACACACACACACACACACACACACACACACACACACACACACACACACACACACACACACACACACACACACACACACACACACACACACACACAGAGGACCCATCAGAGTTCTATTTTCTATGCATGGAGGATTTTGCCAAAAGGCCTGTGCTGGTATTCATCATTTCAAAGGACCATTTGCCTTTGAACTCCCATAAGCAAGCATAATCTGTTGTGATAGATTCACACACTCATACACAAACACATAAACCATACGAGTACACACATACACACATTTCCTTCAGGCCCTTGAAGGAAGAGCCTTTCCTCCCAAACCCCCTATTTCTATCACTGTTCCCAAAACAGCATGGCAAAACATCCCGGAGGCAATACTTTGGATTACGACGTCTCCCTGTTTCTTCCTCTTTGAGCCATAACTTTGCAGCCTCCTTGTCTGGCAATGGGGACAGTTTTGTTTTTAAATATTAACCTTATAAAACCACTGCTTTGAAAAAAAACATTAAAACAAAAAAGCCACACAAAAACATGACTCAGTCGGGAGCATAACAACGCTAAATCTTTAGCCAAGAAAGGCTTCAGTGGCATTCACATATATATGAATATATATAATGTCATAAAGGTAAAAGAAAAAGGATTCTTTACCTTAGCAATTGTAAATAAAAATCACTCACCCTGTTATAATTGCTTAGCCAGTGAGTGAGTACATACTATATAAGCACACACTCAAAACAAGTCGGGATTTAAAACGGTTATTATTAAAAAAGAACAAAGCAGCCAGCAATTGTTTTACAAGCCGTCTTGTGTGTTAGTTTGTGTCCATTGATGCCATTATTCCATTATTCCAATGTTATGCTGAGAACGCAGCAAGCACACATTTAATAACTGGAATTAATATTCCGTTCTAATGTCAATGCTTTCATATTAAGTGGTTTTCAAAAGTGACACTTTAAAGAAACATTAACATCGCACCGTGGCAATATATGTGCCTGAAGTGTAGTTTCAAAATGCCAAAGAGTTTTCCTTTCATAAAGCTGATCACATCTAATGGGTAGATGTAAGTATTTTCATCTCAAATGTTTGAATCTGGAAACCTCCTCTGTGATAGGCTGAGGTAGCTGTTGGCCAAAACCTCCCTCTCTGTTTTGTCAGAGTCTGGTATTGAGAGCTTATTTCAAGCTAGTCTGTCCTTTTCCACTCCAATGCAGCCTGATGAAGATGTTTCAGCTGGGCAGCCTGAGCCAGATTGGAATAAAGTCCCGAGATACCTTTGATACTAGAATTAGATGGGGCTGCACCAGTGACTTATTGCTGTTCTTGACAAGGTATAGACCCAACAGGTAATCTCAGAGACAAAAGCTGAAGACCTCCACAGCAGGACTTCTTAGCAATCTAAAACGAGCCAACCATGGAGGAAGCATAGAAGTCCAACCTAAAGGCGTTGCTAGGCTACGACCCAGCACGATTTCTGGTGTGAGCGTTGAGGAGTGGGCATGACTGCAATGGCTGACCAGAGGTGACCATGAAACTGAAAAGTATGCAGGAGATTAAGCAGTGAGCATAAGCAGGCGGTACATATGGAGGTTGTTGCATTCACGCCATGTCAGCAGAAAAGTTAGAATGGAAACTATTTCCCACTACTCCAAATTGGAAGTGTTCATGCATTATTCCAATTTGTTTACACCCATAACTACTATTGTCACACTATAGAATCATGGAAAGTAAGCCCAATTTAGCCATTTGCATTGTGGTATGTATTTTGTTGAATTCCAATAACGAGTGAAACAAATAGTTTTTACAGTAGGTCTTGTGTACAACATTAGACAGGAGAAAGAAAAAGGAAAGCAGCAAACTGTCAAACCAACTATAGGGACAATGGTGCATTGAGCAAAATGCTAACATCAGCAGGCTAACATGTTCACAATGATAAAGCTAATTCATTCCTCAAAAAAGTGTTTACAATGTTTACTATCTTAGTTCAGCATGCTAACTCTACTATTTAGCACCACTAGAGATCAGTAGTTAAGGCCTCAAACAAAGTGAAATGTTATTTAAAACTAAGAAAAGTTAAGCTGTAGCTAATGGAGGCTAGCGTGTATGTTTTTCTACTCAACTGCTCCTATAGTATTAGTATTAGTCCAATTATTAATTAAGTAGAGGAGGGAGTAACTTGGTCACTACAAGAGCATAATGGAAGAACAGAAAACATAAATGCAGTGAGAAAGTGTACATATAAAAGTTGTTTTTGAAAATGGTGATCCATGAAAAGACAGAGAGACATGCTGGTCTGGGTGTATCATGTAAATGGAGATGGTACTAACCAGGACACACTGCTATGTTGCAGAGTTTGGTCTGAGTCTCGGGATATCCACAAGCCATTGCCGCGCTTCCGTTTACACACTTCCTGGTTCGAGTCCTGGAGCCCCGCCCACAGGTCACAGAGCACAGACTCCATGACGACCACTCCTCCCAAAGCCCATGCACTGCAAACACCCACAAACATACGCACAACATGGGGATGGGAGATGAGGGATTGGTCGGAGCATCCCATCGCAGGCAGGAGGGTTAGAGAATGGGAGAAACATGAGATATCGAATGAGTCTGAGAGCACATTCCTTAAAAAAAACATGAAGGAGGTGAACTTCTGACCTCAACAAAAAAACATTCCAGTTTCAATGGACAACAAGCATTGAGAATGAAGCCGCACTGACATGCTGCTACATGAAAGAGAATGGAGGTTAGGATCGGGCGCTTTTTGAAGTCATGCAGCTTGAGTCATGATAACGAATGTGGAAAGTTTACCTCTGAAAGTATTAAAGCTTTCAGTTAGTATGTAGAGGTACCCAGACGATCCAACACTCAACTGACTTCAAACACGCCACACACCAATTAAAGAATCCAAATGTTTCTCATCCTTTTCCCTCCCTTTTGCTTTGTATTATCTCTATTGCACATTTCAACCCTTGTTTTTTACATCAACTAACAATGAAATACATTGATTAAAAGAATACATGAGAAGAGTTGCCCAACATTTTTGCAGACAATGTGAATTTTTGTGATGCTGCTTTACTGACACCAGGTCTTTGCATGTCTTATTTCACAGTATTCAAGCTTTGTTAGGTTGGCATATTGTGCCATTTAAGAGAAAAACTAATATAAACAAACATTCAAAAAGGGCTGAAATCATTTGAGGCTGTCTAAAACAACCTTTGGGTATGATTATGTTGAGACAGATAGAGGAACAATTATACAAAATGAATGTTTATTAGGAGACACCAAAAAAGGAAACAATGACATAAGACGAAAAGAGGAATGAATGAAAACAGATACATTTGTGAAAGGAGGAGAGTGAATGTGAAAGAACACAACAAGATATGGGCTCAAAACGTTTATCAGACTTTGGGATAAAAGAAAAAAGGCCAAGAAAAACAACGTTTTTTCGAAAAACACTGAAAGCCTCAGACAGAGACCAGAGGAGATTAAGCCGTGTTGAAAGACATGGACAAAAGAGAGAGGTGAACATTTGAAGAGATGCTGAACGAAATATAGAAACCAAGATATAAGGATGGGAAGGGAGAGAAAGTTAGAGACAGCAGGATGAAGATTGCTGGTCCTGTGTTGAGCAAAGCTAAATAAATTATGGCGATAAATAATTTAGCCGACTCTGTGAAGCGAGGCTCAGAGGAGCAGGAGTAGAAGGCTGAGATGGAGCGAGAGTTATGGTATTAAAAAGTACAGAGATATAGAGAGCTGGTAAATAGTGAAATATCCTCAATTTAAGTTAAAAAGATGGTATCAGTGCTTCTTAATAAAGCTGCTCTACAAAATGGCTATACCGTATGTTGCAAGAGTAGAAGGAAAAAAGCAGCATGGGGATTGTATCCGTACTTTAGTCTTAAACTTTATGAAATGCCTTTTCCAGCTCAAAAGTGGGCCGTGCTGAAATGAAGTACAAGCAAGTAGATGTTAACTTAGCAAATATGTATTTTTTAAAAAGCTTCCACTACACAAAAAAACTTCTAACGTAGAGAATAGTGGTTAAATATTAACCCATACTTCTGTAAGTGCTGCATAGCAAACCGATGGATAAAGCTAACGTTTGTTCGCTCATTTTAAATATTGAGGACTTATCTTTGAGGATACTTCATTAATGAGCTGTTTAATATTGATTTCACATTGCATACCCCCAAAAGCAAAACATAACTCAAGTTACAATGGCAATAACTTTTTATTGTATCGGACTAAATAGCAGAATAGCGCCGGCTAGGTTAGCGTCAATCTTGGAACCGTTTGCTATCAGTTTGAGCAAGATTCGGGGACAAACCAAAAACAAGTTATCAAGACTGTAAGAATAATTAAAAATAGCTAAAGTGCAATCCAATCATTTTGGTAGTTTTAAGTCGTACTCTGGCCAGCAATGAACAACCAGTGCAATCTTTTATTTATTTTAAATTTCATTATCATGTTACTGGTTTGAAAGCATTTTTTTTATTGCAGTATAAAAGGCAATGTTGGGTTCTTAATACCGAAATTAGTCTGGTATCAAATATGGAATAAGACTGATTTCCAAGTCCTGATAAAAATAAAATATAATCCTCAAAGTGAGGCAGATTTCGTAGGTGTTGCTCATCCCACACTGCCAAACTTTTTCAGAACACAGAAGCAACGTGATACAATAACAAGTTCAAAAATAAATAAAAATACAGTCAATCAGCTCAGTAGGAGCAATTTTAACCTCCCTTTTTTCTAGGACACTACAAGATTGCTTTGTAGGACATTACTTATTCATTGAAATCGAATCTTCATCTATCAAACCCAGTACAAAAAAACACACACTTCAGTCGCAGTTCTGTTATTTAGCATATTTTTAGTTTTTACTTCGACACTACAAGATTGCTTGTAAGACATTACTTATTCATCCAAATGTAATCTCCATCTCTCAAACCAAGAACTGAAGTCTGACTGTGCAAAGCCAATCATTTAGCCTATAAAGCCAAGCAAGAGCAGCTTTGGGTCTAAGACACATTAGTGGAAAAAATATAAGTTGGAGATAGGAGGACATGGGTAGAAAAAGATAAGCAAATAAAAGAGTAACAAACACGATACAAATGTCTTCAGAGACAGCATTTAGGATGTTCTTACACCACCTATTGGTGACAGAGTAATCACTCCCCATCCAGTTGTATTTCCAGTCATAAAAAAAGTAGTTCTTTGAAAAATATTGTCTATATTAACAACACCATTAACATAAAACAGCTCTTTGTAGTTCAACTGTGCACATTAAAAAGGGATGTTATTGCCACCCGTGTTGCAGTCACAGAGGGAGATGGAAAAGAACATGTTTAAAGCAGCAGGAAAAAATAAAAATAAATAACAAATTGATGAACCTTGAAACCCCAAAGTGACAGATATATCTCTTAACACCCATTCACAAAGTCAATGAACGCCAGATATTCATCTTTGCAAGAGAATGGTGAAAAAGTGTGTCGGCTGAAAAAAAGTGCTCAAATAAAAGGTGGCATATAGAATGAATTACTCCTGGCCTGGGTTTCTAAATCAAATGCAAATAGGCTCAAAGAGAAAGGAGAAAATGTCCATGCACACTTTTCTTTATTCAAACATGCACACACACTTAGCAGGACACACATTCACACCACAGAGAATACAGCTATGCCTAATTAGGATGCAAAACTACCACTCTCGTCTTTAATATCTATTTCATTTCAAATATAAGTACTAATGATGGATGATGTAAAAAGATATCAGCTTTAACTTTTTCTAGCTTTTGCAAATGCATATTCTCTAATTGGACACATGCATGATATTGATCCTAAGAATGCATCATTAGTAGCAGTTTCCTCTGGTTGCTGCATTATATAAAGCTGCTTATAAGGCTCTGTGCAAGTCTAATTTTGTGTGTTCTTCTGCCATTAGTTCATGTATCCTCGCATGCACCCTGGGTCTCTTTTCTAAATCATTCCCGGAAGTGTGATGGAGCAGCGATTGACTACGCACTGACCCACACACACTGTGTTTATAATGCACAATTGTTCCGCTCCATATTTTAAATGTCACTGAATCTATGGTAAATGAGCAGTAGCTAAACGGAACAGAAGTAGAGGGATACTACTTTACTTTGCACGCCTTGGGGCATAAAAGATTTCAGTACATATTTCAAAAAAAGTTAATTTGCCAAAGCAATTACTGCCTAGTTTGCTTTGTCAAGATTCAGTGCATTACTTAAAATGGATTATCTGTATCACCTTAATTTAGGAGTTTTATCCTTGAGAAAACAAGGAGATTTTTTTTGTTTTCTATTTTCACTTCATTGGCTTTCTGTCCAAGCTACTTTTCTTTGATGTTCCCTAACTTGTGCAGACACACATACACGCATGCACAGAGATGTGCCCAGAGACATATCCACCCACACTCATAAAATACCAATACATCCAAGTCCTAACTTTTGCACAAACACAAATAAATGTTAAAAAAAGCCGAAAATAGAACATTCTGGCCAACTGAATTTAAGTATGCAGACTGTACTCTCCCCACCTCAGGATACTCTGGGAGAAACTGTGAAATAGTGAGCGTGTTCACACTTTGCTTGTGTGCCTTGTATATTTTTGAGTGCATAATATGCATATGAAACAGAATAGAAGATGTTTATTTAGAACATTTTCCTTGCAGGTCTTTCAGATAAATCAGTGAGCTAGCTCGATTGGCCGTCATGTTCTAAACATCAGGGTTGAAAAGGCTCATGCTTGCATGCGTGAGCTGTTTATGTGTCGGATTTTCTCGGATTCAAACTGCATATGTTTGATCTTAGAGCATTTGATGTATAAGCAAGGGAAACATTATATTGAGATTGTTACATATGCATGTCATGTCTTTTTGTTAGGCTTTAATCTAAGAGCAAATAGATCAACCAATCCAACAAACAGATTTTAAATCAGAATAAAAAAAAAGAAAACTATTAAAAAAAATTATATCACATCAAGTTCATTAAACACTTGTATGTCTCTTTGCTTACACCCCCACATTCTAAGTCTACTTGAATTTGGTGTGATCCCATTCAGGCAATCCCAGAGGTGCCCCCCCACCCCTCCAGAACCACGTCCGGAAACATCAGAGGAGTGGGGGAATAAATGAAATAATAAACAGCACATAACACAACAACCAATATCCCATCAAAGGAGCGGCTGAGGATATTAATTTCGACACTGAATGGAAAATGAGGCACTTAGATATACAAATCGCGTTGGTGCATTTGCATAAAAACAAGATTAGCATATGCACCGACAGGGAAGGGGAAAATCTGCTTCTCGTTTCTCCATTTTCATATTTTCTTTATGGTTTTAGAGACTTCAATAAGCACTGAATGACACCTACATCTTAAGTGAAAGCACAAGTGTGCAAATAAAAAATATGCAAACTCATACCAACAAACAGAAATCGCAATTGAAACTCACTGTTTTGCACTTGAAGTATAATGATAAATAAGTATCTATTAAATAACAATAGCAACACATTATACATTGTGCACACTTAGAAGCAAAGACCTTGAATGAGCAAAAATGTGGCACAGAGGAATTAACATAGGGAAAGCTTGTGACATTTGAAAATGTTGTCTAATTTGAAGGTTTTCCAATAAAATAGTTCCTCATCCACTTATTTTCAAGCAATGTGTGGAAAGGACCTGTCCAAAGGTGGCACTCTTTTTAGAGGCTGATGCCCAATGACCCCATCCAATGCTTTGACGATGACACGTAGACAGCAGTCTCTCCTTTTTAATTATTATTATTTTTGTAAGTTATGGGCTCATACTTTTCAATTCATAATCCGTCATATAAAAACATCACTGTTATCATTAGAATGGAACTATATGGAGGACATTGGTGCTGTTGTTCTGTGATGCACTTTCTCAGGTGCCACAGGGATCAGAGATGTTAGCCTACAGATGTAAAAAGAAAATAGAGAATCATGCCTTCTTCCTTCCGTTAAGGAACATACTTGTTCAGGCGCTTAAACACTGCTATATTTAAGGAGCCAAGAATCTAATTTCCAGGTTTTGACAGGTTCACACGTGGAAAAAATATCCAAGGCGAGATTTTCCACTGTTCATTTTGGTCCACTGGGGTGTTTCTTCATGTGAAGCACCATGGAAGTAGACAGGCAACACAATGTGAAGCTAGCAGATACCTTGACTGTCTCCATTGTGGTTAAGACTGTAGCGCCAGAGCCTTGAGCTTGAAAGAGTACTGCATTGATTGAACTTAGCACCAACGTAAGACTCTCGGGCTCACAATGGACAGTTAAAAAGTATCAAAATTGATGCAGCAGAACAAGAGATATTGCCTTTTTGTGCCATACATTTTTCTCCCCTGTCAAGCCTTGGCACCTACATTGCCTGTAATGCAACTAAAGTGCCAACAGTTCGGTCTGAGTTGCGGGTGTGTCACGCTATATGTTACAGAGCAACACTGAATCTTGGTCCTTACTGGAGCTGAAAGTACTGAATCAGGATTTCATTTCAAATGCAATCAGGACAACCAATCAAACCAGAACAAGACGGGAAGCACTTCAACATTTCATCTAGTGAAGACCTACACAGGCAATCAAACCCAGAGCAGAACTCACATTATTCAGAATGAGAGGAACACAAGTTCCCCCAGCGACTTGATCTGGCTTGATTGTGTTGTGTGTTGCTGAGGTACTCATCAGTTTGATCCAGCCTTTTTGGAGCAAGCAGACAGGGTTGAATTGGCAGAGCAGGCTTGCATATGAACATTTTACTTGATCAGTTAAACATGTTTTGGAGAAGCCGTTGAATCTAAAATGTCAAATCAAAAGATGCAGTTGCTGTTGTTTACATGTTGATTTGATGTTTTAACTGTAATGCCAACATGCCAAGGGTGATTTTATGGTTGTATTCTTCTTAAATGTCCATGTAAGCTTAGTAAATGTTACCGTTCATTGTTAATCAAACATCAGCTAAGTATTCATTATACCAAATGCATGCATGCGTAGATATAGAAAATACAATGGAAATAGGAGCAATGCTGAACGGAAAAGTAAAAGAGGAGAGCTACATATAGAGAATCCAGGAAGTATGAACTTCTGAGCTGTGGAAAGTCTAATAGACTTGCTGACATTGAGCTTAGGTGTCACGTCTGTCTCCCCCTCTCTCTTCCTCACTCTCCCTCTCTCTCAACTGGCCAGCAGTGTGAATCGAAATGACAAAATTAGATTCTCATTCTGTGGGTTATTTTCTGCTTGGTTAGATTGTGTTTTGGCTGAGTAGATCCCATGTGATGTGTGTGTGTGTGTGTGTGTGTGTGTGTGTGTTGTGGTGTGGTGTGGTGTGTGTGTGTGTGTGTGTGTGTGTGTGTGTGTGTGTGTGTGTGTGTGTGTGTGTGTGTGTGTGTGTGTGTGTGTGTGTGTGTGTGTGTGTGTGTGTGTGTGTGTGTGTGTGTGTGTTGTGTGTGTGTGTGTGTGTGTATGTGTGTATGTGTGTGTGTGTGTGTGTGTATATGTGTGGGTGAGTTTATGTGTGTGTGCATGTGCTTGCCGCCTACCTTCCTCCAAAGTGACAGAGTTTTCACACTGTCATTATTTTTCTTCAGTTTTACAGCTTTCCTAACACATTCTAAACAGACAAGTAAATGCTGCACGGGTGAGTGAGGCGCTTAGCACAGAGCTTATGTTTAAAAGCTGCCTTTAGTCAATCTGCACGTTTAAAAAAACTAAACCAAACCGTAGCCTGGAGTAAATTCACATACTGTATGTATTCGGTCATTATTTTTGCAACAATGCTAAACCGTTTTCATTTATTTTTCCCTTATTAGATAAGCCGGGGGCATATCCCAAAACACCATATGGGTAGAAAAGCACCCTGTAGAAGTCAGCAGGGACTGAAGAAATTAAGAAAAAGAGGCTTCCGTGGCAGTTATTTCAACCCCTTGCTTAATTAAACGGCACAAAATACAAAGAACAAAATAAAACCCTTGTTATTTTGTGTTTGTAAGACGACGTTTCTAACCTGTTGGCTCCACTCTGGGATTTCAGGGAATGCTGAAAGTTAGTGAACATACCTGAGCCAGAGATGCCCGGATCGCCCGGACAGGAAGCGGTGTTGTTGCACATGCGTGTTTCCCGCAGGGCTCCGCTGCATAGTGTCCCATAGGGAGAGGAAACGCATGATCGCGTCCTCACTTGCCAGCCTTGCCCGCATGTAAGAGAACACACACTCCACTGAGACCACTCCTCTGCCGCAGGGTCGCCTGAAGAGCAAGACGGAGGTGGACAGAGACAGGGTCATTCTCAATGATTCTAGTTTAGGGATTTTACCGCTTCTGAGAGAGTGAAAACTGAAGAGGCAGTTGTTTTGGGAATGATCACAGCCTACTGAAACAACAGCTTATCGTAAAAAAAACAAGGCTTTAAACCAAAGTAATAAAGCATGGGGGATGCAACAGGTGACAACACATCCATGTAGGTCTAGACATGCATGTTCATATTGTCTCGTTAGATTTGTAAGTGTTTATACTGTGTGATTGTAATACTTTTACCATGGGGGGTAATACAGCCAAAAAAAGCCACAACAAAAACGGAGCTACCGTAACTGTGAGTGGACAGCACTTAATTCTCCCTCCAAATGCTCCCAGGACCGAACAAGTCATCACGTTTGCTTTATTGATTCATGTTGGCAATTCTAGGTTTATTTACTGAAATAAAATGAAAATCCCTACAGTAGGACGGCAGTGACACGTTGCATTATTACAGTGGTACAATAAAAGAAAAACTCAATTGTAATGCATACATTTGTCAAGAGAAAAGCCTGGGACTTTTCAACAGACTCTTTCTAGTTATAGGATTAGTGTTTCTTTTCCCCCTGATAAAAGCACAAGATATTTATTCTGAGCTCGGTTTACAAAGGGTACATTTTTTCAAGGGTGTAATCTTGACATAAACTACGATGCTCTGTCATTACCCAATAGTCTGTATGATATTCCTGCAGAACCAAGTATGGGGGATTCGATTCAAGCTCCTTAATGTGAATACACCTTGATGAATATTCATAAGGATGATGATCCTGTTCAATCAAATGAATACTCATGGAATTATGATAACACAAGATCTCCCAGATAATCCAAGAAGGATTGCTTTAGTTGTTAATTTAGTGGCAAAGATTGGGATGTTTTGTGGGGGATTGTGAGTTCTGCAGGCGGCTGGGAAGAGACTCCCACTGTTCCTTCCGAGTTACGCCCTTGACAGCGAGAAAAAAAAGTGTGAAGTCATCGCGCTTCTCTCTTTCTAAATTGTTTATGAGCGCCGTGTCCTTTGATCGAGGCGTCATCACATGGCAAAGAAGGAAATCAAATTAATTGCATGTCCTTTAATCGCATAACATCTCCATTAGCATGCCGTGAGTCAGGGCTTAAGCTCATCACACATGCCTGGAGGAGTGGAAGAATGGGGAGAAGAGGGGTGGGGGGAGGATGAGAAGGACAAGACAGAGCCAGGGGTTTCCCTTGTGGTAGGGACTCCCTCCTCCACACACTGGGAGCTATGAATATGTAAATGTGTGTGTGTTTATATGTGTATGCTTATGGGCACAAATGTGTGTATGACCTATTCTAATGCGGGTGAATCAGCCACCATGTAATGTCATGTATGTATAAGGCAGATTCCTCTGCTTATATAAACTACATGTGACATATTCAATATGGATTATGTCATAAATAATTCCATTTGTCATTTGCAATCCTATTCATTATGTACGATTCGCACACACGCAACGGCCAACTACAGTAGCCGCCCCGGAGATCAGACAGGCTTCGGAAGGTGAATGTATAGAAATTATTTATAAGGAACTTTTTTATTTAGTGACATACACCGCCTGTTCAGTTGAATTCTTGCGTCCCAGGCTGGACTCATGCACACATACTCACCAGTTTGTGCCTGAAACACACCTGGCTGGTCAGCTGATCGAGGTCTCTGGGTCTTCACCTTCAGATCATCATCATCATATGGGTCTGAAATGGAAACATTTTAGATTTTACTTACATTTACTTTTCAGCTTGTATTGAATAGCACTGCTGGATATAGGTAATGCAGCACGAAGTTGAACTCTAAGAGCATAAATGCTGGTGTGTAGATATCAACCTCCTTTACTACAAATATTTGTGCCAAGACATACAGATCGTTGTTTTTAAAGCTGTAGTCAACAAGTCTTCATAAGCATCGATATGTACTTTGTACATTCAGAGAATTTTAAAAAAGCAGGTTTTTTAGTACACCCAAACACGACTCTGGCAAAATAATATACAGACGCCTACATTTCCTTGGCTTGCTCCCTGTTACAGAATATTTAAAGCACACACCGATACATTTCAGCACACATCGTACTGAAATGTAACAGAACGTCAAGTCTACAGTATAATCTCAGAAAATCAGGTGGATGCTTACCGTCTCATTAGAGGCAAAGCATGAAATGTCAATTAAATATAGGTTGAAATGCAATGTGAGGAACGATAAGTAAGCAAGCTATAAAAAAAGCCTTGACATGGTTATGAAATTGTACAAATAGTAAAAGCTACATTGGAGAATGGCCTGGATCTGATTTGTCAGAGAGCTTATTTATATTAGAACACCTCATATAAGTGTAGAGCAATAAGGATTTGTCGAAACAGAACAATTGCCTAGAGGAAGTATGGAGAAAGCGAAATCATGCAACATATCTAAGTCAGTTTATCTCAATTGGTACAAACATACGGAGGCACAGTCTGTTCTGATCTGTGCAAATTGATTTGTAGGCTTAGTTTCAGCAACTCAAGACTTAATCAACTCCCTCGGCAGTAGAAACAATCTTTGATTCAACAGATCAGTTTTTATACTTGGGTACTTTTTGCCTATGGGATTTTCTTCATTGCTTGAAATTACATGAAGCAGCTGAAACATACAGTTCACATGAAAATGTCATTGTGTGTGAATTAGAGTGCAAAAGTGAGATTTCCCACATTAACTTCTGTCAAAAGGTTGGCCTGAGGAAGAACACAGACATGAATGCACTAGAAATCCTTGCCACGCACGCACGCACGCACGCACGCGCGCGCGCACACACACACACACACACACACACACACACACACACACACACACACACACACACACACACACACACACACACACACACACACACACACACACACACACACACACACACACAATATGGATGGATGGGAATCGTAGTTAGGGTCTGATTGTTCAAGCGCCCATCACAAACAGCACTCTAATTTGGCCTTTTACAAAAATAACCCTTTGAAAGGGTCTAGATCTCGCCTTTTGATCGATGGTGTCTAACTCTCCCTCCCATTCGCTTGTGTTGTGCTTCATTCTCAGCAGGACCACTTGTGCTTTAAGGCCAAAGAAAAATATTCTTTCTGTGAAACAATGTGATAGTTGTGTTTTTGTGCTGTGTAGATAATATCTGCATCTGGCCCTTGTTAAAACAAACGATGCATGAGGGTGTTTTTTCTCTATATTGAGACGAGCAAATGGTGCAACAACGCTCTGAAAGTATTTCGAAGACATATTTTATCTAGTCGACTCTTTGCCTAAAAAAGACTTGTAAAATACTGTTGCGTTTCATGTGACAATCAAACAGAAAGTAGTGCTGCACATACCAGCAGCTCTGGGATTCACAGGTTTTTATTAGCTATAGTCGGGTCAGAGCACAGTACAAACGCCCACTTGCTGAGCTGCAGGTTTTACAGTAATATCTTACACCTAAAACCTTGTGCAAGGACATATTGCTCCTACTCTGAGCTAGATATTTGTAGCTTGCAATCGACAGTCCCTGTCAGGGTGCGTGGAAAAGGTAGGACCCAAATACAGTATTAACAAAAAAGGCCGATGACAAAATAAAACAAGAGACAAGCTTAGCATTACCAAAACAGGGGAGCACGAGTAAATAATCCAGGACCAAAACTTCAAGGACAAACATGGAGCGTGACGTGAAGGGAAAGACAAACAATGAACCGACACCAAACACAATAAGAGACAAGACTAAATACAGGGAGGGGTAATCACGAGACGAGAAACAGCCGGGTAGGGAAGGAGAAACACAAGGGCAACAGGTGAACACAATCAGACACACCAGGGAAACTAACGACAGGGAGAAAAGAACAGCAAAACCCATTACCAGACACAAAAAACTAAAACTGTGACATGACACAAGACAAGCTGTGTGGGATGGTACTGGAGCACGGTACCATGGCTGTGTGGGATGGGACTGGAGCACGGTACCATGGCTGTGTGGACCGGTACTGGAGCAGGGACCATGGCACGGAGCAGAAGTACGAGCTGGCTTCCTGCTGCTGGGACCGGAAACAGAAGCCGCGACCATGACTGTGTGGGCCGGTACTGGTGCATGGATCCATGGCTGTGTGGGATGGTACTGGAGGACGAGGTGGCTTCCTGACCTTGCATTTTTTAGAGGTCTTTTGGAGGCTCCGTGGACCTCCAAACGCCAGGCCAGACCCCAAGAAAGGGTCAGAGGCTCGAGACAAGCTTTCAGGGCTGCTTGTAAAAGTTTAAAGCCACTCAGGCAACAAGCTCCTGAGCCCGGGCTTGCGAGCAACCTCCTGGCGTGCCTCCTTCAAAGCAGCCTCTTTAGCCCGTCTGGATGAGGCTGCCAACCAAGTATAAAAAATGTACTCTAGGGCGTACTTCCAAGAAAGGGTCAGAGGCTCAAGACAAGCTTTCAGGGCTGCTTGTAAAAGTTGTAAGCCACTCAAGCAACGAGCTACTGAGCCAGGGCGTGCGAGCAACCTCCTGGCGTGCCTCCTTCAAAGCAGCCTCTTTAGCCCGTCTGGATGAGGCTGTCAACCAAGTATAAAAAATGTACTCTAGGGCGTACTTGAGGTGATCCGCCTGTTGAGCCAACGAAAAAGAAACTGCTGAGTCCATTACTGGTCGGTTCATTCTGTCAGGGTGCGTGGAAAAGGTAGGACCCAAATGCAGTATTAACTAAAAAGCGAGCTTTAATTTACAAAAAAGCCGATGACAAAATAAAACAAGAGACAAAGTTAGCATTACCAAAACAGGGGAGCACGAGTAAATAATCCAGGACCAAAACTTCAAGGACAAACATGGAGCATGACATGAAGGGAAAGACAAACAATGAACCGACACCGAACACAATAACAGACAAGTCTAAATACAGGGAGGGGTAATCACGAAACAAGAAACAGCCGGGCAGGGAAGGAGAAACACAAGGGCAACAGGTGAACACAATCAGACAATCAGACACACCAGGGAAACTAACGACAGGGAGGAAAACACAGGGAGATAAGAACAGCAAAACAAAACCCATTACCAGATAATGTGTCGACGTGTGTACGGTGATGTGATCACACCACACACACACACCCCCCACACACACAACCCACGACGCTACCCTACCAACACACCACACACACCACACACACTATCACACAACACACACACACCACACCACCCACACCACCACGACACCCAACACTCAATGGGTAGTCGGATTTCGACGTTCACGACGGACTGATATACAACAGACACCAAAATGTCCTGAACTGCAAGTTTTGTGATCATAAAATTGTCTCCGTCCGTAACCAGTAACTGTACGGTGTTTGTGGGGGTGTTGGGGGTGTGATGCGGTCAGCGGCGGTCGTGGTGTTGTTGTGTCCGGGGTGTGTGTGTTGTTTTGTAGGTGATGATGATTGTGTGGTGTGTTGTGTGTCGGTGTGTGTGTGTGGAGTACACCACGTCTTCTATACGTTGTGGCGTTGTCTGTGTTTGGGTGTAGCGGTTGGGTGGGCTGTATGTAGTATCATAAGTGGATGTGTAATTCGGTTGTAAGATGTGTAGAGGTGTGTTGCGTACAGGAGACAACAGTACAGGGAGAGAAAAAGGGAACGCCACACAGGGGAGACGAAGAGCAGATGGTACAACAGTGACGGTCATCGGCTACAGTGTCACGGACAGGATAACTTACGTCGTCGGCTGGGCTTTTTCTCCTTCACTGGGCCTGTCTTCTCCTCCTCCCGGCTGCCCCCGCCTTTCGCTCAGTTTTGTTCGCTTCTTCAGCCTGGCATTACATAAATGCGTTCTGTGACCTGTCATACAGCTATAACTAAAGATCTTATATTGTTTACGTACCAACGACATCGGGATTGCATGACTTCGATGTCACCTTGTGTCACCCGACCTGGGGAAACGTTGTACAAACCGATCACGAATAACAGGGTGTGTTTTGTAAAGTCCCCCCTTAATGGCCATGACGTTTACACGCACGAGAGTAAGCCTGCTACTGTGACCAACCCTTTAGGGGGACTTTTTTCAGCAAAGGTGGCAATCAATCTTTTCGTCGTGTTTTTGATTTTTAGTAGCTCCCTCGTAACACCGAACGTATACTCCACCACAGCCGTGTACTCTCAAAGTCGACGTTCATAGTTTGCGAGCGAAAATCCTCTCCACCACAGCTCTAGCCTGATGGACATGTCGTTGTGGCCGGGTGCGAGAAACCCCTGTCAGTCTCTACTGGATCTACGGACTCGACTGTCCTCTCTTGTCGTTTTCTCCACAGAGTCTAATATACTGCGTGTGTATTTCTCGGTATATTGAGTGGAAAACAACCCTTCTTATATCTAACAATTTCTAAGCCTGGTGGAATATTTATGTACAGCTTGTTAAAACCGTTTAAACGGAGGAAAGCCACTCTTACAAGTATGTATCGACCTCAGTCCTGCAAAATAAAATCGAAGTCGTGCTGTCTGCGGGTTCTTCGTATACCCTTGTCGATCGTTACTCGCTTCCAAAAAATTTCCTTGGAAATTGTTAGGATGTTTCTAATAAGCAAATGAAGCGTATGTGTTCAGGATTTTTCATCTTTCCTGAGTACTGTGGCGGCTGGTACTATGGTAAGGTCCAACGATTATCCCAACACTAGCGTGTACTTACCATGCGTTTGGACTGTTGAACATGTACTGTTGTTCTTGGTACTCCCAACAATCAGACCAATTTTGGTGGCCATTGTATTTCATCAGGAAGCCAGAAATGAGAAGGACAAGCACATGGTACTCCCGATTCGTATCCGATGTCACGTATGGCCTGAGGTCGATGTCTATGAATTTCGTGTCTGTCCTTCTCACACCACCTAGGAGACGCGCGATGTAGAAACTTCTTTCGTGTAGAGAGACATAGACGGAAAATGTTTAGAACTACTGTTGTATAAATATTGTGTTTTTTACCATGTTTGCTTACTAGTAGTGGTAGAATGCTTGGAAACGTCGAGTCGGACAAACGGCTCTTTGGCCACTTCTCCTACCGCTCACTTTCGCACTCCAGACACACTTTTGGTCTGGGATTGACAGGACAGGAGCAGGAGGTATCTCAGGAAACTCCCTATTTCTAGTTGTCCAATGGACATGCACATAAGAACTTACACAGATAAGACGAAAACAGATAGAGTAAAATACTTTCAAGCACGGAGTTCGAGAAATCACAACTCACAGATATTACAAGTAAACTTGTCACTAGAGGTCTTTTGACAAGCGACATTTTGTTTTATGTAAGAGTAAGAGTTTGAAACGATTCCCTCCGAAGAAACAAATGAGACCTATCATACCGTTATGTACTTGGATAACTTCGCAGGCGGTAACCACCTATTTATCTGTCTAATTGTTACCCGACTTTAAGGTACATAATCTCCTAGTTATATGGGTTTATACTGGTAACATGGGAAGAAATCCCGATGATTTCCATTATGCATCCCTAGGACGTAACGATGATGATCTAGAATCAGTTCGTGCTAGAAGAAAAGACCTTTATGTGTTATTTAATTATTAAGTTTATATATGTAAATAAAGATTTTGATAAATAAACAGAACGGTTTTAAGGAACCTCGGTCTTGTATGACATCAAATGATTCAGCGGATACTTGTTGACGCAAATAGGCGGAAAACTGGTTTGGACTTTCCTTTACGTCTTTTTCAGTTTGAATTCCGTGTTCTTACTAAGAATACAGTGCTGATTGAGTACCGTCTGTACGAAGTACGTATGATGTAAACTGGATCTAACGGAGGTCTATATTGTACCTTTCGTGTAAGGATTGACGGATACAAGGTCAACCCTGTGGTGACGAAGGCGTACCTGGACTCCGTCAGACTCTTCTCCTCCCTACGACGACAATAGCCAATATTCCTCCACTTCTATGTTCAACTTTAGCAAGACCAATTGCGGGAGAATGACATCTTGTGTGACTTTGTGAATCGACAGGTCTATCGGTGAATTACGTCATATGCATCATTGCCGGGAATTGCTTTTGCTGTTAAGCCGGCATCCAGGAATAGGGAGACATTAGGCGTAGTCACTCCAAGCGCTTACATCAGTTCCTTAGAGACACTCCGATGAACTTTACAGCTTGTATGGGTGTACTAAAACAGTTTGCTAGTGAATTATTATACAACTCACCAACCAACCTGAGGTATAAGAGTATAGTGGGTAATATTATAGGTCACCTAGGTGTTCGATGGGTCTTGTACATTTAGTCAACTTCATGCAACGTTCTACCTTCTTCGCCTCTGTGTCCGTTCATCTGTCCCTCTCGACCTCCCAATTGTTCGATACTGATAGCAGATTTGGACTGGAAGTCTGAGGATCGTGGACGATACTTCGTCCAACGAACGCATCGATCAGCACACAACAGTTTATGTGAGACGATTTGTAGTTGCGTCTTACTCTATCGTATTGATTACGGCTCGCTGTGTGTAACAGAAGCATAACTCACTTTGGTCATTCTGCGCTACATTACCTCTGTCGAGTTCATCTTCGTCGCTTATCGTTCTTTGTGCAGTTAAGTTGACCGGATATACATCGGGCTCTGTTTCATTTAGGTTCACATAACGGTATCGACATAGCCACACGAACACATAGTGGCAACGGATACGAGAAGTTCTCTCCCCTAGCCGACTGCGTAGCGGCTCCGGTCCGCGAGCTTCCCGAGTCTCCCGTCAGCACATCTGCTCTACTCCGCACGTATCGCCTGCGGGCAGTTAGATCCTCTGCGCAGTCCTACTATCTAGACTCCGCGCTCGAGAGCATTCGTCACACTCGATGTACTTGATACTGTTCGTGTACGCTCCAGTTTGCAATCTCTCCTCAGTACCTCCTGTTCGTTCGGAGTATTAGTCGCGTTTTACTTTGTGAGTCGTTCGAGTCCTATACCCTTACTAATACCTCCATCTCATACACGTGAAACCTTTACACAAAATTACTGGTCTTTCACTACGCTCATCTGTGCGTAAATTGTCGCGAACGATTGCATCTATGGTAACCAATGTCCAACGTTCGTAAACATATACTGTTGTTTCGACCTTTTCTTTCGGCTCACTTGCCGTCCGGTATCCTAGTCGCGCTGGTCATGTAGAATAAAGTTCTGTATCTCCTTCATC